TCTGTCATCTATCCACAAGTCCTTATGTATTTCCAAATTCACCACATAACCTATAGCTTAATGTAGATTTTTCTCAGAGATATTGATTTTAAAGGAATAATTAAAACGGATGAAAATTTTATATATAAATTATACAATCATCCATGTATTTATATATAGTTTGATAGTGTTTACTGACAAGTAATACAGTTTATGTATCATCATATCACCCATTTGTGAAATTGTTGGCCATCTATATTTCTTTTTTTAAGAAGTGTCCGTTTCTTTCTTTTGCCCATTTATTATTTGGGTTATTTTGGTGTTGAGTTTTTTAGTTCATTATATATTCTGGATATTAATTCATTGTTGGAGAACTAGGAGGCAAAGATTTTCTCCCTCCTGTAGGTTCTCTCTTTATGCTCTTTTTTCCTTTACTGAGAAGAAAGTTTTAAATTTGATGTCATCTCACTAATTGACTCTCAGTTTTCTTTCTAGTACTTTAAAGTAATGTTAAGGAAGTCAATGCCTTTGATAATATGTTGGAGTATTGAATCTATGTTTTCTTCTAGCACTTGCAATGTTTCTGGTCTAATTCCTAGGTCATTGATTCACTTTGAGTTGACTTTTATAACGGGTGAGAGATAGGGATCTAGTCTCATTCTTCTACACATGATATCCAGTTTTGCCAAAACAATTTGTTTAAAAGGCTATCTCTTCTGTACGTTTTTGACAATTTTGTCAAGGATCAGATGATTGTAGATTTATCTCTTCAGTTTTGCATTCTTTTCCATCGGTCTTCATGTCAGTTTTGATGTCAATACCAATTTATGTTACTGTAGCATTTAGTATGATTCACAGTCTTGTATTGTGATGCTCTTTTGCCCAGGATTGCTTTGGCTTTTCTGGATCTTTTATTTTTCCAAATAAATTTTAGGACTTTTTTTCTAGTTTGGTGAAGAATACTATTAATATTTTGATAGAGATCACATTGAACCTGTATAATGCTTTTGGTAATATGATCATTTGGACAATACTAATTCTGCCTATTCAAGAACATGGGTCGTCTTTCAATCTTCTAAATTCTTCTTCAATTTTTTTTCTTTAGTGTCCTTTTGTTGTAAATGTCTTTTACCTCCTTGGTGTGATTTATTATTAAGTAATTTTCTTGAGGTTATTGTAAGCAGGATTAGTTTTCCTGATTTCTTTTTAGTGGGTTCATTATTAGATTATAGGAAGAAAATTAATTTATATATTTTGATTTTGCATACTGCTACTTTGCTGAATTTATCATTTCTAAGTGTCTTCTGGTGTAGTTTTTTGAGTCTTCAAAATATAAGATCATATCAATAGAACACAGATAATTTGACGTCTTCTTTTCCTATTTGTATCCCTTGAATTTAATTCTCTTGCC